AACATGCATAAACAGTCATTTTTGCACACCTTGAGCGATCCTATGTCGTACAGTATGTGAAATGTAAAGTTTGATCTTATCTTATCTTAGCTTCTGGGAATTAGACTCACTGGTATGATATGCTGAGGAACAGAAAGACTGCATTGAAAGTCGCCACAATGCCGGATCTGGTCTGTCAATCAATGATTTGAATTCAATACCTCCAATCAGGAACCTGTGGGGGCGGGTCTAAATGCTACATGCAATCAAAGTTATGTCCATCTTCGCTACTCTGTAGACTAGAGGAACTCACTTTATTGAAAACATAACTCCAAAGCATCATTCTAATACGCCCCATTGTTTTGTTGCAGTTTGAAGTGTTTTTGACCACATACCCACTAAGCAAGCCGACGTTGAATCAACGTAATTTGAACGTCGTTGTCCGACGTAGAATATAGGTCACTGGTGGGTGCAGAATGAAAGTTTTCTCGACGTCGTTTCCCGACGTCACTTCAACCTCCAAATGTTACGTTGATGGCACGTCAATTCAAGGTTTGAATGTGGTACAGAACCGGTCGGGTCTGACGTCCTATCAACGTCTCATATGACCAAAATATTGACGTTTATATGACGTTCGTTTTCAGTCGTTCCCACTAAGCAAGCAGATGTCAAAACTATGTCATTTCAACGTCATCTGGACGTTATCTGGACGTTCAAATGACGTCGCGGCCACTTCATTCAAGGTTGCAATGTGGTACAGAACCGGTCGGGTCCGACGTCCTCTCGACGTCTTATATGACCAAAATTTTGACGTTTATATGACGTCCATTTACAGTCCTATTGACATACTTAACCTCTGCAGAATCACTCACTGGTCGAGACATACTTTTTGCAATAGGCAAGGCAAGTTTATTTGTATAGCACAGTCAAAACAAAAGGAAACTCAAAGCACTGAACAAAAGATAGAAACAATCAAACAAGGCATTACAATTATAAATATTGACTGTAAATTAAAAAGAAACAAATAAAATCTCTCATAAAATCTCTCAGTTGAAGCAGAAACAGAAGTGTTTTAAACCTGGATTTTAACATTGTCAAAGAAAAAGCCTGTCTCACATTTCCAGGAAGACTGTTCCAGATTTTAGCCTTGTGAATCTGAAATGCAGCTATATCATGTTTAGTTCTGACTCTGGGCAATAAACGATAAACACAGCATTCAAAAATCATTAGAACAACTGTTGTAGAAGGATATCAGTCATTATTGCAAATGGAGCTGCATTAAAAATCATGTTTCTCTACATCAAAGTACAAGTTAAACCACACAGGGCACAGTGTTATGAACACTACTGTACTGAACAGTTCATGCCAAAGTAAAAAAACATGATTGTAGCGCCTATGTTTGGATCAGTATTAAAACAGGCACAAGCTACACTCTAGGTTCCCCAGATGTAAAAACACAATCTGAAAGGCAGAAGAATGCATTTATTGAATGTTGAGGTTCCAACATGTGTCCTCTCTTGGTCTTCAGTCTCATTATAAGGTCCAAGCACAGCACCTGAAAATGTGGAACATGTTTAGTTTCAACATAATGTGGCAAAGTGATATAACAACATAACTTTCTATTAATGCCTCAAACCACTCGATCCATCACCATGTGATACAAACCTTGGCACTGCACTAGCTCGAGACACTGGAAGACACTCCGTCTGAGAAACTTGGGATAAGGCTTTGGTCATTGGAGTAATTCCATGTAAAAAACAATTGCAAATGTGCATTTGTTTTGCACATGGACACAAATGAGCCCTGAAAGCTACTTACCCTGTATTACTCTACACATGTTGCATTTCCGAGGGGGCATCTTCCCCTTGTTGCTCTTTTCCCTCATCTTGAGTGAGTTGCTGAACAATCTGAGAAAAAGATAGATGTTTTCAAAGAGAATACACCAAATAATGGTTTATTCTAAAAACAACATATTAATACAGAACAACAATCAATGTGTGAGTGTGTGATTCTTACCTTTGAACACCTTCAACACAGTCTGACACCTGTAAGACTCAAACACACATGACACATTAGGAATACACACAGAACATTAGTTATTGCAACAATCATGAAATTATACTCTATGGATTTCACAATAATTGACTGCATTAGCAAAGGTAAATGTATTTTAATTAACATATGGCTGGTTTTAAACTTTATAAGAAAAAGTAAGAAATTGAATAGAGTTGCAAGCACTAGTTAGCTTGCTACCAGCAGATGAATGGATATTTAATATTTGCAGCTAACAATAACAAAAATAACAACTGTAGTGGCTCATTTAAACAGCCACAGTGAGAAGAAGTGAAAGTTTCTGACATTGAAGACCTGGGAAGACATTAAATCAATTTATTAAACAAAGCAATACATGAACATTAAACTCTCTATCTGCAGCAGGTAACATCTGTGTGCTCCTATGGTCCCACATGGTCCCACATGGTCCCACACCTGAACTCAACTCCAACTGATGACATCACAGGTGTCTAAATGATGGGAGTGTCCCAAATAGTAAAGCTGATCTCCCTGTTTTTAAACTTAGTTTACTAAGTACTGTTGTCTTTTTGCAGTTTATAAACCATTGTGAAATATACAGTAACTTTACATTTTGGAATTGAATTATTATTTTAAAACTCAAGAATCTTAACCTTTTTTAACACATAGTTTGTTGGACAGTCTAACCTAAGAATTCTAATGTGTTAAAAATAGTTTGAAATATGAAAAACAATATCATATTTTAAACTTTAACTTAAAAACTAAAAAAAGGTGTCTCCCTTTCAGCTGAGCAGTGCCAGCCGTTATTATTATAGATTCATGCACTGGCAATTCAAAATACAGATAATATACAAAATATACTTAACAAAATCCACGTATACGTGAGAAAACGACTTACTTTCTGTCTCCAACTCTTTTCAATGTGGAAATGATACATCTATATCTAAAAACTGTGCAGACTGTGTACTTACTAGAGCAGTGTTTTTCAACCACTGTGCCGCGGCACACTAGTGTGCCGTATGATATTGTCTGGTGTGCCGTGAGAAATTCGTCTACTTTGTCTAAAAATAGCTGCATTCGCTGTTGACGAGCGGTGACTTGTTTTGAACTGTGAGTAACCATGTAATACTTTTTCAAATCAGTAGATGGCAGCAGATAGCTAAGTACTTTGAAACTGAAAAATTGGATGCGACCACTGGCTGTAACAGGTCAGCATTGTGGCGAGAAAGGTAAAATTGGATGCGACCAACAAATGTGGGAGGGAGCGAGACAAGAGCTTTGTGGCGAGCGAGAAGTGAAAGTGATAGAGACGTTTTTGAAAATGAATTATGCCGTTTCTGAACAGGATTAACATCCTCCACTCTGCCCCGGGGCAGCTGTGGCCGCGTTGTAGTGGTTTAACTATGAAATGTACGATTTTTGTACAACAGCTCTCGCGAACGCACTTCTGAACTGGGTACCGAGCGCAGACCGTAGTCGAGTGGACAGAACCATAGACATGCGGACCGGACAGAACCATGGACTCGCGTTCAGGACCTCCCGTGTCCCTCATCCAAAACTCCTGAATTTAAAGCTCGGATACCAAAATGTTTCCCGCATGCACTAACAATGCATGTTCTTTGTGTGAGTTATTATTTGACTATTTGGGCAGAGAGTGGATTCTTAGTTTTTTTCCACAAAGTTAGTGCCACTTTATTCCCAAACTCTTGTTAATTGTATCGAGAAATATTAAATAAAGCTTAATTTCAAGGCCTGGACTTAAGCATTTTGATGAGAATAACTGTATATTGTGAATATAGGCTACAGAGTATACTGTATACATTATAAGATAAGATATACTTTATATATCACACAGAGTATGTACAGTATATATTTTTTTACATTAGTACTGTATACATTTTTACATTTTCTCCTGGAGGTGTGCCGCAAGATTTTTTCAGTGAAAAAAGTGTGCCTTGGCTCAAAAAAGGTTGAAAAACACTGTACTAGAGAGGGTGATTCCAAGTAAATAAAGCAGGGCAGCGACAGAGGTACAGATTCAACGTCATATCAACGTCTGGGAAGACATTGCTTTACGTCCAGACCTTACGTCGTTTAGACGTGGAAAACAGGTCCTCGACCGAGCGACTCACGTGTCAGGCTGTAATGTTACAAGTTATACTCGCGCGGCGCATAAGTGTGCGTCGGTTGTTTAGGGTGTTATCTATTATTTTTTCACAGTAGTCAGAAAAAATGCCTGGCCGTGGTGTAGCGGTTGCGTAATGAGACTTCAGTCGCAACGACGCGGGTTCAAGTCCCCGTCGGAAAACTTTTGACTTTTCACTTTTTAGCAAACAATTTTTCTGTTTGGTTAAAAACGAATAAACACTCAACATAAGATTATGTAGTGGCTAATAATAAAACTTGTGAACCCATGCATTTGCATAAAATCTCAAGTGCTCACCCCTTATTTTCAAACTTGAGATTGTTAGCACAACAAATGCATACATTCACAAGTTTTATTATTAGCCACTACGTAATCCTATGTTGAGTGTTTATTAGTCTTTAACCAAACAGGAAAAAATTGTTCGTTAAAAATCAAAACAAATATATAAAGATAATAATACACACACGTGGGCTCGAACCCACGTAACCAAGACTGCACACGTTTGCTTAACCACTACACTACCGTCAGGTACACTTAAGTTGCTTCACAGCCTATATATTGTATTGCTAGATCAAGACGTACTGCGTCGGGCGGCCGATGACCTGTTTTCGACGTCTAGGGGAGGTCGGGATTGAACGTCATATCCACGTAAATGGGAGGTCATTGTTTTACGTCCAGATGCGCACCTTGCACAGACGTCGTTTGGACGTAAATAAAAGGTCACGACCGACCGACGCGATATTGACGTGATCTGGAGGTTGAGTGGACGTCGGATGTTTAGTGGGTAGCAGCTTGTTTTTTCCGCACGAGGTGCTCACGCTGTCTTGTTCCCTCTCGCTGAAACATGTATCAGAACCTGCCTCTCCACTCACTGGTTTTAGTTCTTTTTACAGACCCGTCTGGACCACACTGTTTCTACAGTAATTACTGCCCACGGCTAGTTTATCCTCTGACTCGTCCAGTCCAGCAGTACACCGTGGTGGGAGCTTCACCAATGTAACAGGTCATTACTCATAACGGTTTGAGTGAGCGATGGGAATCTTCACACAGCATGGAAAGAATCAGGATCCCTATTGAAGAATGTGGCAAGAAGACACGGATTGTTGGTTGAGGTCGATCGAATACAACTTTTAACAGATGTGATTGAATCTTAAAGCTTTTCTTTGACTCCTGGGCTCACAGACATAAGAAACTTCCAGAACTCCCAGAGTCGTCATTTTGACTGCTCCAACTCAAATCAATTCTGAAAAAGTTTGTGAATTTACCATTATATTCAAATGTACCATTAATCACTTCAAATAAACAGTGCAAAAACTGGTGAAATTTACTTTCAATTAAAAGTTTGTTGAAGGGCTAATGCTAACTGGTTGCAACAACAGTGTATTGCTATGGTTACTTGCTTTTATTATTATTATTGTTATTTTTAATAATCCATCCATCCATCCATTTTCTTCCCCTTGATCCATTTCTGGGTCGCGTAACGCTCGCGTCTCTTTTGGCGTCAAGGGATTTTTTGATGCCGAAGCTGAGCTTTTCGAGCTTGACGCTGGGCTTCAACCAATCAGGAGATGAGGAGCAGCAGCTGTAGGGCTGTCATGGAAAGAAGTCATGTAGCTGCTGCTACTAAAGGCTCGCTGCTTTCTGGAAATCCACCGTTATCTTGACTACCGGCAACAGAGAAGCTCCTCCCACCCGGCGTCAGGAGCTTCAAGCACCAAGGCGTTCACACCAGACCCAGCGTCAAACAATGCACGTCAAAAGCTTTTTGAAGCTTTTGTTCTGAAAGCACCTTTACACAGTGGTGATAAATTACTGCAACCAGTACGTGCCATCGACCCCTCCAACCACCACCAATCAATCATACACACCAGACTCATTCTAGGCAATGAGTCTAGAGCGGTGTGGTGTGGGAAATTTCAATGTTGCATCAGCAGTTACAGAACAGTAGGAATGAGGAGCACACAACACAAGGTAAGTGAAAAATAAAACAAATAGAAAACAATCTCTGTGTTTATCATAATCAAGAAGTAGGTTTAAAATCCAGTATATAGTTGTATCTATACATGAGATTGTGGGACAAAGTAACTCAGGAAAATGACAGTGGACACATGTGGTTCTATAATGCAAACATACAACTCACAAATGTAATTACATTCTATACATTTTGTGTATCTGTCCGAGAGACGCACAAACACAAACCCAATGCACTGAATACTGTATATCTGCTATTTTCTTAGAGTTGCTGAAGGTACAGCCCACAGCTAAATGGCCATGAAAAGAAACTCATTATGATGAATTGCTCTGGCATAATTTCTATAGCATTTCTGTTGTGATTGTTGGCATGTCAACTGAAAAGACTGGAATTTGTATTTGTATTTGTGTTTCTTTTCATTTACTGAGTACATGCTTTGATGATTCTACCTTGGACGTTCTGTTATTATATTTATCTGAGCTCACTGACAAAATACATACTTGAGAAACTGGTTCAGCCCTAGCCTGGTCCTACCACTCCATCATGATCTTGGGTCTTGATTTGCCCAACTGATCTCTGTTAAGAGGTGGGACGGGTGAAGATTGGATCCGAGTTTACCGTGACTTATGTATTGTGCCCTAGCGAGTGAGGCAATTAGCATTTAGCCTAGCTTTAGCTATCTCTTTTGCCTCTAGTAGAGCTGTCAAATGGCGAGTTTGCAGGGGCTACAGAATGACTTTAGCGAGTGGAGCACCGCAGACTGTAACCACACCCCCCCCCAATAGACCTATAGCGGCATACTATTGGACGCAGATCTATAGGATGAACTATATAAACCGCCCAGAGCCGGCCCTCAAGGTACGCGGAAACTGAAGCAGAGCTTGAGACGAGACTCGACAGCAGGGACACGCAGAAGGGACACGCAGGACACTCGAGGAGCGGCCCCAGGAGCAGCCCCTGTACCAGCCCCGGTACCAGCCCGGAGCGGCACCAGGATCAGCGCAGAACAGACGAGACGGGTCGGGAGTCTTCTGTGGCGGACGGACGCGGTGCAGCAGGAGCGGCCCAGGGATTTACAGGACGCCAGGGTTCGAGACGCACATCCAATCTGCGCGCGCGCACTATCGGAGCCCACCAGGAGTGTGGAGAAAAGGCCAGCACCAAGCTAAGTAAAGGGACGTCTGCAGCCTCTCACTGTCGTTGGGGAATTTGCAGTGTGTGTGCAGTGTGGTGTTTTTAAGTGTGATTTCCCCTGTCCCCCCAACCAGTGTGACCGAGGCTCGGACAGACGTAGGCAGACGCGCGCTCTGGGAGTGCGGGCAGACTGGTACGCGGAGCCAGCTCGGCCTGGATCAGCAGCGGACCAGACCAGCCCGGGGTGGCTAGACTGCGCACGCCAGATAAGTAAAAGGGACGCTTCCCCACTTACTCTGCTACTCCTGTGCCCTGTGTGTTTTGTCGTACCTGGCTGGCATTGAGAATCTCCCTTGTCCACAGGCCATTTTAGAGGGGCGTGATTGTGGACGGGCCCTCACAGACTGGACTGCTCAACCCTTTCCTCTGGACGTCGTGTTATCCCCCTTACTCCCCTCCCCAAAGTAGTTTAGGCGCTCCTTGTATATATTGTACATACTTTTACTGGAGAAACAGGCTTAGACCTATTTTTAGACTCCATTGACTCTTTTAAAATACGTTGCTTTTAACGTTGAATGAAACACATTAAAACACTGTTAACTTTTATCTGGTTGCATCATTTCCTAAGAGTGGAAGTATTTTTGGTGGTGTAGGACCAAATCGTGACATTATTTTTGGCGTTGTCTGGCAGGGTCCACCACTCCACTTTTAGGAAATGGATCCAACACAGAGTGGGTCAAATGCGGGAAGCTCCACCCATTTTGTAATGCCGTGGTTCATGGGTGCAGCCTGGGTCCCTAAATTTACTGGCGACTCTATTAAATTCTCAGAATGGAGGGACCAAATAGAAGTAATGATTAGAGCTCAAGGACTAAGCCCACAACAACGGACAGACTTTGTACTTGGGGCTGTAGAAGGAGATGCAAAGCGAGAACTACTGCTGTTAAGTACTGAGGAGAGGGACACTGCGAAAAAGATTTTTGATTTTTTAAAGACACTGTATTGTAAGCCGGCCACTAAAGCCCAGCTGCGAGTTACTTTTTTTAATTGTAAACAAAGAGCGGACGAGTCTGTAGGAGCGTTTATTCTGCGCCTTCGAGAGCATTATAAACTGTGGAAGGGGGAAGACATGGATGGGGCTGACGAGGGGGGTGAGTTACTGCTTGAACAATTATTGATAGGGATGTACAAGGGAGCAATTAGACAAGAATTGGGGCGACAGATGCGACGTCAGGAGGGCATGTCATTCAAAGATGCCTGCAAGGAAGCTTGTGCCCTAGAGCAGGAGCTAGAGGGTGACACTGCCCTGGCCAATCGGGTGGCTGCTCAAGCGCCCTTTAGCCCAGTAAGGCCAAACTTTGAACAGATGAAAAAACAGATTCAGGTTGAGCTAAAGACTGAAATGATGGGTGAAATAAAAAAGGAATTACAAGAGCAACTAAAAAGTTTGTCCTCCTCCCTGGTTAGTGAAATTAAAGCACAGCTCTCCCCACAAAACTGCCCACCCCCTTTAATGCCGCCTGCCCAGTTCAGATCGCATCAACCCTCCTACCAGTGGGATGAACGGGGCCGCCCCATCTGCTTACAGTGTGGACTTTCTGGACATGTTCGGCGCTGGTGCCCACAAAGGCAACAAAGACAGCAGGATTTTTAGCAACCCCTACAGCTGAGGGCCAAGCAGTGGGGGCAGTGATTTCGACCCAGGAGCCCACAACCCTGAGGACTTCCCAGGACAATCCTTCATCTGAGCCAGGACCCAGGTCTGCTCTAGTGGGTGAGTGCCCCAGTGTGTCCATTAAGATCAATAACGTAGATATTCCTTTTGTACTTGACACCGGTTCCCAAGTTACCCTGTTGAGCCAAACTCTCTTTAGAAAGCACCTCGGTGGGACGGGGCTCACAAGCGCGGAGGCGATCCCATGGCTCAATCTACGGGCAGCAAATGGACTCAAAATACCGTATATTGGGTATGCTATGGTCGACTGTACAGTGGGAAATGTACCAGTAATTGGGAAAGGAATAATTATCGTCGAAGATTCGTGCTTGGGCCCGGAGAAGGGAATATTAGGCATGAACTTTATTGAACCAATCTGGTCTGCTTTGACACAGGGAAGCCATCCTGGACTGGCGGCCTTCCGGACCATCATCCCTCCGGCTGAAGGGAGAATGTGGACCGAAGTATTCACACAATGCCAGCGGGTGGCCTCCAAGGGTCCTCGCTCATTGTTTGAAGGAGCTGCCAAACTGCCCCGCCAGGTGGCCGTCACTATTCCACCACACTCAGAGATGGTGGTTTGGACCTGCGTAACTAATAATGCGCCGGGGAATCCATGTACGGTGCTGGTGGAACCCCTACCTGGTAGTGATAATGAGTGGTGTATTGGGCGCACTCTGGCCACCTTAAGTGGAGGCAGAGTCCCCTGTCGAGTATGCAACCCAAATCCCTATCCTGTGGAGGTCCCCCAACGGGTACCCCTAGCCCGGGTTACAGAGGTGGAAACTGATGACATTCAAGGGGAACAGGAACTAGTTTTCAGCCAGGTGGAGCCTGATGTGGTAGAAGTAGCGGTGAGGCGTGTGGGGATTTCTGCAGAAGCTGATGAGAATCTTCACCCAATATTGTCCTTACAGGGGGATGGCCTTACGGAGGAACAGCAGCAACAAATGAACAATCTACTTCGGAAATGGAGCGGCATCTTCTCCCAGCATGAGGACGATTTCGGTCGCACCAACATAGTAAGACACCAGATCCCCACAGGTGTTGCCCCGCCTAGCCGAGAGCGTTACCGCCCGGTGCCTCCGAGCCTTTATAGCGAACTCCAAGTCCTTCTTAAGAACATGCTGGAGAATGGCGTTGTGAGAGAAAGTTCAAGTCCTTGGGCGGCACCCATCGTATTAGTCAAGAAGAAAGATGGGAGCTGGAGGTTCTGTGTTGATTACCGTAAGCTGAATGCTCTCACACATAAGGACGCTTACCCATTGCCACGGATAGAAGAATCCCTCACCGGACTGAAGGCGGCCAGGTACTATTCCACGTTGGACTTGGCTAGTGGGTATTGGCAAGTCGAGATGGATCCAGAAGATCGGGAGAAGACCGCCTTCACTACACCCTTCGGGCTCTATGAGTTCGAGCGAATGCCCTTCGGCTTATGCAACGCCCCGGCCACGTTTCAGCGGTTGATGCAGCGCTGTCTAGGGACTATGGTAAATGATTCACTTTTGATATACCTTGATGATGTGGTGGTCTTCTCTGCAGATTTCAACAGCCATGTTCGACACCTGGAGGAAGTGTTCCAAAGGTTGTCGGAGCATGGACTGAAGCTTCAGCCAAAGAAATGCAGCCTGTTCCAACGCCAGGTGATCTATTTGGGACATGTGATTAGCGAGGAAGGCGTGGCCACAGACCCGGCTAAAACGGCGGCAGTTCGAGATTGGCCAGTCCCCCAAAATGTGCGCCAGGTGAAATCATTCCTTGGGTTTGCCGGGTACTATCGTCGTTTCATCCCGAACTTCTCCAAAATTGCTAGACCCTTGCACGCTCTCACCCACAACACCACACACGAACGGCGGCCGACCCCAGTTAGCTGGTCAAGTGAATGTGAATGCGCCTTCGAACGGCTAAAAAGTTCCTTGCTGAGTGCTCCTGTGTTGGCATATGCAGATTTTTCTTTGCCTTTTCGACTCTTCACAGATGCTAGTCTAGATGGCCTAGGGGCGGTATTGGCGCAGGAACAACACGGCAAGGAACGAGTGATCGCATATGCTAGCCGGAGCCTCCAGCCAACAGAGAAAAATGACCAAAATTATAGCTCATTCAAATTAGAGTTGCTGGCGCTAAAGTGGGCAGTTACGGAGAAGTTCAAAGATTACCTGTATGGTTCTGAGTTTGTAGTCTATACAGATAACAACCCTCTGGTACACCTGGAGACCGCACGCTTGGGTGCCGTAGAACAGAGGTGGGTGGCCCAACTGGCCAACTTCACCTACACTATTAAATACCGCCCAGGCAAACAGAACAGAAATGCAGACGCACTTTCCAGACTGACCAGTCCATCTCTGGCGGAACCGGCTGAAGTAGACCAGATCATTGTCTCTAGAGATTACGCCTGGAGAGAACAGCAGGTTGAAGACCAAGAACTGGTTCAGATAATACAGTGGAAGGAACAAGGGATAACTCGACCAGAGACTAATGCGGACATGTCCCGTAATATGACATTAATGCTAAAGGAGTGGGACAGACTATATATTTGTGATGGGGTTCTGGGGAGGTGCCGGGAAGAGGGATGCATTGGCCCCTCTGTCTTTCAGGTTCTTGTCCCGCATCAACGGAGAATGGAGGTATGGAAGGCATACCATGGAGAGATGGGGCATCCCGGTGGCGACCGGACCGCATCCATCATCAGGGCACGCTGTTACTGGCCGGGGATGACTCAGGACATCAAGAAATGGACAGAAGAATGTCCCCAGTGTATCTGCGCAAAGGCTGGACCAGATGGACGGGCCCCTTTGCTTCCAATCCATACCTCCTATCCGTTCGAAGTTGTGGGCGTGGACTATCTCTCGCTAGGACGGCCCCAAGATAAGTACCCCTATATTCTTGTCCTGACCGATCTATTTTCTAAATATGCTATTGCTGTGCCAACCAGGGATCAATCCGCAGAATCCACTGTCCAAGCCCTCTATCGCAACTTGATCGTGACCTTTGGGTGCCCTGAAAGAATCCTCACAGATCGTGGAGGGGCGTTTGAATCCACCCTTATGAGCCAGTTGTGTCAGATATATGGTTGTACAAAAAGTCGAACCACAGCCTATCACCCCCAGGGAAACGGAGCCTGTGAACGGTTTAATCAAACTCTCCTGCAACTGCTTAATTCGCTTTCGGAGAGCCAGCAGGCCCAGTGGTCCCAACGGCTACCAGCGCTAGTCCAAGCATATAATAATACAGTCCACAGCGCAACTGGGATGACTCCACACTATGTGTTATTTGGGAGACATGCAAGGCTACCTGTGGATTGGGTGGTCGGCTTGAAACCCCCCCTTGATTCTTACACGCTGGACAGCTGGGTTAGGCAACACCAGAAAGCTTTACGAGGTGCATATGATGTTGCCGAGCAAAATTCGCAACGTCGCAGGGAGCAAGACAGACACAGGCATGATCAGAGGGCTCGTCTACCGCCACTTCTACCGGGTGAACGGGTGCTGATTCGAAATTTCCGCTGGCGAGCACAGGGCAAGCTGGCACATCGATGGAAGTTTGAGCCATGGGTGGTGGTGAAAAACCTAAGTGAAGGCCACCCTGTATATGTGGTTAGACCAGAAGGTAGAGGGGGACCTACTCGCACCATACATAGGAATAACCTTCGCCTGTGTCCTCTGACTATTTTACAGGAGGCTCCCCCAACTGAGCCACAGCCACAAGCGGGACCCAGTCAACAGCCCTGTCTGCCACCTGGAGCCTACTGGACACCAGGAGTAATGGTCTCGCAACAAGTTCAACCCAGAGCACCAAGTCCGGTTGAAATTGGACCCCAGAGACCCCAGGCTGCTCCAATAGAACCACAGGTCAGAAGGTCGCAGAGGCGCAACTTGGGCAATCCACCTCCACGTTTTAGGTAATGATTGGCCGGGACGACCAAAGTTAAACGAGGGGGGAAATGTCAAATGGCGAGTTTGCAGGGGCTACAGAATGACTTTAGCGAGTGGAGCACCGCAGACTGTAACCACACCCCCCCCCAATAGACCTATAGCGGCATACTATTGGACGCAGATCTATAGGATGAACTATATAAACCGCCCAGAGCCGGCCCTCAAGGTACGCGGAAACTGAAGCAGAGCTTGAGACGAGACTCGACAGCAGGGACACGCAGAAGGGACACGCAGGACACTCGAGGAGCGGCCCCAGGAGCAGCCCCTGTACCAGCCCCGGTACCAGCCCGGAGCGGCACCAGGATCAGCGCAGAACAGACGAGACGGGTCGCGAGTCTTCTGTGGCGGACGGACGCGGTGCAGCAGGAGCGGCCCAGGGATTTACAGGACGCCAGGGTTCGAGACGCACATCCAATCTGCGCGCGCGCACTATCGGAGCCCACCAGGAGTGTGGAGAAAAGGCCAGCACCAAGCTAAGTAAAGGGACGTCTGCAGCCTCTCACTGTCGTTGGGGAATTTGCAGTGTGTGTGCAGTGTGGTGTTTTTAAGTGTGATTTCCCCTGTCCCCCCAACCAGTGTGACCGAGGCTCGGACAGACGTAGGCAGACGCGCGCTCTGGGAGTGCGGGCAGACTGGTACGCGGAGCCAGCTCGGCCTGGATCAGCAGCGGACCAGACCAGCCCGGGGTGGCTAGACTGCGCACGCCAGATAAGTAAAAGGGACGCTTCCCCACTTACTCTGCTACTCCTGTGCCCTGTGTGTTTTGTCGTACCTGGCTGGCATTGAGAATCTCCCTTGTCCACAGGCCATTTTAGAGGGGCGTGATTGTGGACGGGCCCTCACAGACTGGACTGCTCAACCCTTTCCTCTGGACGTCGTGTTATCCCCCTTACTCCCCTCCCCAAAGTAGTTTAGGCGCTCCTTGTATATATTGTACATACTTTTACTGGAGAAACAGGCTTAGACCTATTTTTAGACTCCATTGACTCTTTTAAAATACGTTGCTTTTAACGTTGAATGAAACACATTAAAACACTGTTAACTTTTATCTGGTTGCATCATTTCCTAAGAGTGGAAGTATTTTTGGTGGTGTAGGACCAAATCGTGACAGAGCCACAACATCTTTGCCTGCATTGAAATTTGTTCTGGCTTCAGTTTCTTGATATTTGGGGCCAAACCAGAACAGATTCCTTACCACTACCAAACTAAGCTTGCTAATTTGGCGCAAACTCTTCACGTCACCAACACCAACCTCCCCAGCTGTTTAAGCTTGAGTACCTATTCAAAACCACAAAAACATATAATAACATTTTTCACAAAGATATACAGTATTCTATCGTTCTTTCTTTATAAAGCCTCTGGGGTGTTGTATTTATCAATCCAAGTGCTCATTTGTGGGAGCAGTATGATTCTTGCCCAAATGTGCTTTAGTACTGTCTGCCTTTGCTCATCATACTAAGTCAGTTTTCTCCAGTTTAAGGGCTGCTTATCACTTCCATACACCCGCAAACCCTTCATAAATGTATCCCTTACAGTATTCTGAATGTTTTCCATCCATTTAGTATTTGTTGGTTGTGGCTCCAAGCAGCGCTGATATTTACAATAATAGTTTTCTTCCTGGCTGGCTCTTTTTTTTGCTGCTGTCAAATTACAAATGCTTTTTCTATTAGAGATAACACATTAAATCGTGTTTGTTGAACCGTTTTCCCCTGACAGGCTAGACAATATTTCCAAAGGATGGCTACCCCCAGAAATTTGCATGTGTCTTCTGCATGTTCTTTAATGATCAGCGCTGGATGTAAATATATTCTTGATTGATAGTTCTTGGTGCTATGTATGCATCGGTTAACAACAGTATGTCATTGTTGCGGTCTCTTCCCCACTGAGCAAACCCAGGTCACCTCTTCCTTCCACACTGAGCAACCCACTTCTTGCCTGTGAGCCTTGAGCAATTAAATCAAACTGTTCAATAGCCTGCTTTGTAGCCTGCTTGATTCTTTGTGGATCAGATGAAGAAATGTACATGCGTGATTCTACAACTTAGGACCAATCTGGTTCTGCAATTTTTGGAATGTCTAAATTTGAATTTCCAAAATAATGTTTTATGTAGTGTTGTAGTTAAATGTCTAGTATCACTTTCTGACTGTGGTTTTACAGTTACTATTGCATTTTGTTTTTGCAATTATTATAGATTGAGATAGAATATAATAATATGATGGAAAAGACTGTTATTTGGGATGACATGCTAATCTCTAGTGTTTTCTCTAGCATTACTTATACCCAAATACAACAACTGAACCTTTTTGACCTCAAAATGAGTAAATTGAGAAGAAATATAACATGAGTAAATATGAAGATTAAGTGCAAATTCAGAATGGAAGACCAAAGAGACGTCCTTCTGCCACACTGGACTCCTCAACACACCTGCCCTGAGCCTAACAGTATCAGCCTCTCCTGCTCAGTGACACACCTGTGCTCAACATTTCATGGCTGCATTTAAACAAACCCTCTCGGTTCTCTGCTGCTCAAGCTGCTGCTCAAGCAGCATCCCACCTCCTCCCCATCACCGCCTCTTCAGTGGAGTATCATGTCATGTCTTCGGCTCAGCTTCTTCGTCACCAGGTTCTAGGCCCCAGGGGTCGCAAGCTCTAGTTTCTACAAAACTCCCTTCTTCATTTACGTCATGCAGTTTCCCCGCCGGGGTTTAATCGCCAATCCTAGTGCATTAAATATATTAGCACTTAATCTGAGTCTGTCGGTGTTTATTCATGCATCTCGGCAAAAAATAATGTAATGCAATCTTCGTCCAAGCCTCTCCAGATTCAATCAGCGTTTTCAATGTAATTTGTGAAAATGGTTTTACTACATTCCACTAAATAACATGTTCTGATGGAACAAAATCATACTGATGATAATGATCATTTTGGAAAATGGAAAAATCTGAAATATCCTTTTTTTTTTTTATCAATCCAAAACGTTTTTTGACAGCAAAATAATCCTAGTACTTTGATAAGATAAGATAAAATAGACTTTATTTATTTCACACTGGAGAAATTTAAATGTCACATTTGGCATATATAGAATCACTCAGGTTTTGCAAAAGACATAAGTGGGCAAACATGTTAAAGTTTAAAAGGTTAGAAATATGTCTGTGCAGGAAATAATTATGTACAATAAGAGAAAGAGTGGCAATAGTGCTTTTTTTCTTTCAGTCCTAGTGCATTAGTGACCTAAAATGACTTATTGTAGCCTGACAGGGGCCTCAGTCTTCCACTGAAGAAGCTCCTCAGCTCCTCTACAGCCCTGTGCAGTGGGAGGTGTTGTCCGTGATGGAGGAGACACTGGCTGTGTCCAAAACGGTAGGCATCGGGCCGCGTAGGGTGGATATGTAGGCATCGAGGGAAGGCCGCGTAGCCACAGGCGAGGTAGGAGGCGAGACGTGATGTGGATTTGGACAGCAGCTGCCTTCTGCCTTCGTCACGTGACTACACAACTCAGAGCGGAGCGGAAGGACACGGCGGCCATGATGGACGGTAAAAAGTTCTAAATACGCTTTAATTAGGACATAAAAGTTAATTCTAATATCATTTGAGGCGAGAAATATCCCCCTCTATTGTCATATCAGGGGTCTGTTTGGAGATAAATTCGAAAATTTTCGGACTTTACCTCCAGCCTGAAGCTCCGGTGCTATAAGCTAACAGCCCAGTTAGCTGCAGTGCTGAAGCCCAGAACAGGCTGTCTAAACACGGGGTCAGGTAATGAGAGCCCCCTGGATGTTTACAATCGTATTCTGAAAAAACAGAGGATGCTTTTGTTGTTACACTTTCTCTGTTATAACAATTGTATTGGCAGTAATCATTAGTTTTTACAAAGTTATATTTTATGTAAACAATGCACATATATGCAATAAATGATTATTAGATATGGATTATATATTTGCTATGGCCCTCGTTTGTGCATCACTTAAAAGTAATTTTATCAGACCTAAATGTATTAACGTGTGTTTGCTGATGAGAGAGAAACATCCATTTATCTATAATAATAACTGACACATCCATGGATCTATAATAATAACTGGAACATCAATTTATCTATAATAATAATAACTGGAACATCCATCCAACATTATTAGATCTATAATAATAACTGACACATCCATGGATCTATAATAATAACTGACACATCCATGGATCTATAATAATAACTGACACATCCATGGATCTATAATAATAACTGACACATCCATGGAAACATTAACAGACATCTGTAAAATGAAGTTGAACACAGATGTTTGACACTGCTCTTATTCACTTTTATGTCTCTTGAAAAGCTAACAGACCGTTACTAATCACATTTGAGTTTAATGTATTCAATTATAAGTATAAGTATAAGTACTGCTGACAAATATGTAGTTGTGTAAATAATACCTCACTTTGATGACTCTTTACATTTCACACAAACAACAAAATCATAATAAAACCAACAAGTTTGATTTGTTTTCTTTATTTCCAGGTTCTCTGAAGTGCTGTCGATGAGACCTGTGTCAGAGGCAGACGCCCAGGACTCTGCTGCTGCTCCTGCTGCTGTTGCTCCTGCTGCTGTTGCTCCTGCTGCTGCTGCTCCTGCTGCTGTTGCTCCTGCTGCTGTTGCTCCTGCTGCTGTTGCTCCTGCTGCTGTTGCTCCTGTTGCTCCTTCTGCTGCTGCTGTTACTCCTCCTGTTGCTCCCTCTGCTGCTGCTGTTACTCCTCCTGTTGCTCCTGCTGCTGCAGCTGTTACTCCTCCTGTTGCTCCCGCTGCTGCTGCTGTTACTCCTCCTGTTGCTCCTGCTGCTGCAGCTGTTACTCCTCCTGTTGCTCCTTCTGCTGCAGCTGTTACTCCTCCTGTTGCTCCTTCTGCTGCAGCTGTTACTCCTCCTGTTACTCCTCCTGTTGCTCCTTCTGCTGCTGCTCCTTCTGCTACATGTCTTGATGCAGAGCCCACTGTTCTAACTATTCATGATTGCTGATTAAAGGAAAATATTATATACAAGTTAGTTGTAGTTCATAATGTGGTGATGAGGTGATGGAGGTGAAGCAGGAGGTGATGGAGGTGAAGCAGGAGGTGATGGAGGTGAAGCAGGAGGTGATGGAGGTGAAGCTGGAGAAATTATGACCTTAATTTCACCACAAGTCTCTGAAAAAGAAGAACACAAACATCATGCATTAAAACACAGCCCACATTTAGGATTCTTTTTACACTTCATATTCAATTAATACTATTTATTTGGGGCTTTGCAAAAAACTGGTTAAAAATAAAATACAGAAATCCTTACAGTATTTAATATTAGAGATACAAGCTTCACAGCAGGGGAAACAGAAGAATGATATGATAGAAATACACACAAATAATCAAGTTATGAGCATGGCTAACCACTTTAAACCTGTGTTTGTGGAAGTGGGACCTTGTCCTCTGCAAATGTCTTAATGACAAACGAAACCTCTGTATAATGTGTGTTTACTATTTATTAGACTATTGTATGAAAAGGGCTTTATAATTATTCTTGGCCTATTCTATAATTTCATATGTCTAATATATACAGTTTTCCCAGTCTCAGTGTGGGATTAAAAACAATATGCACAATCTATTTTATATGAATACAGAAAACATGTGTTAGCATACTATAGCTGCTGTGCTGCAGAGTGATTTTCCATGAAA